TCTGCACTTTGAGGATATGAATTAAGATAAAACATTTTTTCTGACTTCCAATGCCAACGCTAGGTTTTAAAAGTTGTTAGTTTGCAGGACAGTCCTGCCAATCAACAAGCTAAAATTATCTTACTATACTTCTGCCCTTCGGAAATTTAGTTGTTACTGGTCCTAAATAATAAAAATAGGGAACTCGGTGGTTAGACGGAACAATGAAACAATCTCCATCTACAAGAGATTACCCAAGCCTTTCATGTCACCACAAAGAGATCAGTTGTCCTAGTTGATTAAAAACAATCATGAAGGCTAAAATATTTAAATATACTCTTTGCTCAAGCCTTTCTAAATAAATAGTAAGTGTCTCTAAAGCCACTAAGTAAAATCATAATGCAAATTTACAAATGCAACAGATTCTCTAATCTTCAAAACTCAACTAAGACAGGAGGCACCAACGCGAGAACAATTGCAGAAATTGGATTGTCTAAAAGATTTAGATCTTTTTGAGACAATGTGCAAGATTCTAAACATTCCGATGGAAGTGAAAAAGATATGGGCAAGGAGACGACTGATGCCATGGTTTAGAGCCAAAATGACTCTATGGTTGAATGAGTATACCAAGAAGCATATGTCGAAGCACGGCAGAGTGTACAGTGTGTATCAGCTGGACATTGGGGGCAGGAGCTTTCAAGCGAGCTTTCGTGACTCATCGGAATGCAGTGACCACCGCTGTAAAGAGAATCTCCAGGACAAGTGAACGTAATGGAAGAGAGAAGGAAGAGATGTTGAAGGAAGATTTGGAGAGAAACGTGACGTTGTGTCTCCACAACAGCTTCTGCAGAAACAGAGAATCTAACGTGGATCCCCTACCTTGTTGTAAACAAAGAGTAGAAGAGCAGACGTTTTGGAGGACTGCTTCCAACAGCGCAGAAAAGCTAACGATGTGCTGCAAGACACAGAAACTGAAAGTGCAGAGTCAATGTCGCAGGAGGAGGAGATGCAGCATTGACAAATGGCCGAAAAACAAGATGCGAAAAGAAAGGAAATTAGAAGAATTTAGAAGTTTTAGAACTTCTAAACGACAAAAATTAGAAGAAACAAAGATGTGACAAAAGAGAAGAAGTTAAAACTCAGAATTGTTTTATGTGTGTGACAAAAACTCAAGTGAAAACTAAGCAACCAAGTTGTGATTGAAAACTGAAAGAAAACATTTAGTTGAGTTTCGAGCATTAAAGAATTTGTTGCATTTATAAATTCGCATTTTGATTTTAGTTAGTGGCTTTAGAGACAATTACTATTTATTTAGAAAGGCTTGAGCAAAGAGTATATTTAAATATTTTAGCCTTCATGATTGTTTTTAATCAACTAGGACAACTGATCTCTTTTTGGTGACATGAAAGGCTTGGGTAATCTCTAGAAGAAGGAGATTGTTTCATTGTTCCTTCTAACCGCAGAGTTTCTTAGTTCTAATATTCAGGACCAATTACAACTAAAATTTTCGAAGGCAAGGAGCATAGTAGGATAATTTTAGCATGTTGATTGGCAGGACTGTCCTGCAAACTAACAACTTTTAAAACCTAGCGTTGGCATTGGAAGTCAGAAAAGATGTTTTATCTTAATTCATATCCTCAAAGTGCAGATTAGTGAAAGAATTTGGAAGGCTATGGTAAAGTAGTATGATGCCTTTTATATTCTGCAGTGAGTCAGTATGACGCGGATAAAAGTAATTTCGTGCATTTTGTAAATTATGTTCGATGACACTGTACCAATTTTACGAACATTGCGAGATTCAATGGGGACATTGACCGGGCTGTCCGGGGAGTATGTGACATTCGACCAGAATGGACAAAAATGCAGATTCGGTGATTTCGAATAGTTAGCAGTTAACCTTCCGAATTGACAGTTTTGAGAGATTAGTGAGTTATTGGAACAATTAGTCAAACGGTGAAGGTCAAGATATTCTGGTATTTTGAAATTTTAAAAATTCGAACTGAGAAGTCGCACTTCTGAGAAACGAGAAAACCGCCATTTTGGAAGAAAACCAGAAGAAAATCAGAACAACAATAGTTGCGACGAAGATAACTACGAAAAAATCGATGATCAGAATCGAAGAAAAAGCAGAGTTAGCAGAGACCGTTCCGAGTTGCACAGGTTGTGTCGCTACAGTCGTTGCAAGGCCGTTCACAACAACGGTGAAGGGTAAAAAAAAATAGCCTTCCGGAAAGAAGATAAGGTTGTTTTCAATCACCATAACACTAGAGGCAATACATATCAGGAAAGAGAAACCGGGCTTGAACACGCGCGATGAGTTTAGGAGCAGGGAGTTAACACTGAAAATTTAGTCCCAAAATATTTTTGGTTTTTTATTCAAAACGTACATGTCTAAATCGAAATTATGACTCAGAAACTTCCAGACAAATTAATTTTAAAATGTTGAATTAATTTTAGAGGTTAAAAGTATTTTAATCTTAATAGTAATTTAGAGGTCAGCTGTGATTGGCTAATTTTTTATCATGATGGTTTAGAACCAAATTGTATGTGATTTATTGTAAATAACATTTGTAAATTGATGTTTTATCGTCATTTAGAGTAGTTTATTTTAAAAATCCTGACGATGCACATAGTTGCGAAAACGTTTGAAATTTACTTTTTAGCAAAAATTTTTTCGATAAGGTTGTTATTTTCTACGGATTCAGGAATCCGTAGGGGTCTCGGGATTTGAACTGAAACTGTTTAAATAAACTTTTAGCTTCCCGGTTATGTCTTGATTTGAATTTATTTAACATCTGAATTCGTTTTACGACGATGAGAAGGTAGGAGTTGGGGAAAGGGTCTTTGTTGGATGTATTTCAAAGATTTTTGCACCCCCTAAGGCAGATGATTTCATGTTTTGATCGTATAAAATTTATTGTGTCCGAGTATGATTCGTTCCGTTTCTCGCTTAGTTTCTCTGCTAGTTTCTAGATGGTTTTGTAGAGCCTGGTGCTGCTCCTCCGAAACACGCCACAATTAGTGGAACAAAGCTGCTGTGTTCCACATCCAGAATTCTTTGTATTTTCTTGGTATTTTAATGTTGTGACACTCTCATGATATTTGTAGGCGTCAGATACAGTTTTGGGGCATGATTTTGAAAGAAAGTCTGCCCAAAACATCTAAGAGTTGACGTTGCGCTAATTTTTGTGCACTGAGGTTTTTCATAACTCTAAGTGCACAAACAACGGGTGATGCCCTGATATTTTTTGCCTACTAATTTTTCGAGGCTTTATTTTAAAGATTTTCAGCAATTTTTCCCGTCATTTATCAATATCGGCTAGGAAAAGAGTTTGATCATTTTTCATCCTTAACCAGATGTTTCGGAACATAAAAAAAATGCGAAAACACTGAATTTAAAAAGCGGCTATAATTCGTTGCTGGACTGGTAAACTTGTGAGTTGGGAAAAAAAGTTGGTCCATCTTCGATGGAGTTGATGATTTTTATCTACTGAGCAAAAACAATAATAATTCAATAAATAGTAGTAGCCCTGTTTTTAGGAGTGACCTCGTGGTCTGGGGATACTGAGACCCAGCCATGAGCTCACTAATTTTGCATATAAATAAGTTAATTTGAGCGTTCTGGTCGAAGCCGGAGAACAGTAACGTTTTTGTCGACCCGATGTTGGAAAGACCAGCAAAAGAACTGGCTTTGGTAGAGACGGTGAAAAGCATGTAGAGCTCTGTTTAGACGTTGGCCAGTCGTCTTAGAACCTAGCTTTATTTTCCGTCGATATGTACTTCCGGGCGAATGTTACATTTCGTTTCGATATTGTTTGTGTAACTGCCTGAGAACTTGAATAGTATTTGTTTTGATTTCAGTCTGTTATATTATCATATTATTTTTTCCTTACCGGTGAAACCCCGATTTACCTACGGACACAAACTTAGAGTTTCAATAACTTCCAAAGTTTTTTGTCTCTTCATGATCAAAAGTCTAACTCCGCGGCATTTGTTCCACAATTATATTTGTTCGCTGCTGGATTACATCGGTCACAAAAAAAGAAGCTTTTGCGAGGAATTTGTACTTGTCTTTGCTGTAGCCAACACATTCACTATGGAACCTTTGATAACAATTTTCTCACATGATCCAGTTCTCTCCGCGAGGTCTGCAGAATATGAAGCAGGAGAAACTCATAAACGCCAACCTTGACCTTGTTCCAGACATTTTTTTTACATGAACTATGCAATAGATTTAGTTTTTTTTAGGTATCAATAACATCACACCTCCACCCATCGACTTATTGGTTGATTTCCAATGCAAGTTCTTTGTTTTAAAAAGCTTGTTTTTGTTTACAAAAGAAGAAGTCACTCTTCGTTTAGCCAGCCTGTCGCTTTCTCCAGAAATTCCCCGAATTGTTTGATTTATCTATTTGATGAAGGGTAGTTTTTGACGGTTATTTCTGTTATCTGGATAGCTTATACCTATTATAGGTGAAAAGTAAAATGTAAATTTATTTTTCTACTTCAGTTAATTTGTGATTATGATAAACGGGGAATATGAATGAGCAAAAAAACTGTTGTGATTAAGTTTTTGCGTCAGTGCTTAAATGGAGGCCCTAGGAACGAAACCTTCGGATCAACAAATTCAAACGTTAACAGCGAATGGAAACACTATACAATACGTAACTGATGGTGACCCCGAGCAGGCGGCGGTCGCAGTTCTGCAAGCTGTTTTTGGAAACTCTACTTCTCTTATTTCAAATTCCAAAAATGAAAGCAATATGCAAGTTACTGGAAGCGAATCTAGCGTCCTAAAGTTTCCAAGTCCGATCTCAAATGGTAAATATGGTCACCACGGGTCTAGTTTCTACGAGGAGATAGTTTCCAGTGATGCAGTAACTAGTAGTCTTACTTCTTCGAATATAAGTCATGTTACTAGTTTAGCTACAACGGAATCGTCAGGTGTTCCGACGCAAATTGTTGCTCAAAGTGGCAATACATTTCTCGTGCAAAGTAATAATATTGATTCAGAAGCGGCACCGATAACTCACACCACACGTGCATCTCCTATCACGGTAAGTGTTTATTTTATTGTTCATAATTTGGTTTCAAAAATATATTCAATCTGAGAACCAGTATAATTTATGGGCTGCCAAAATATAGGTTGATTTCTGAAGAAAAATTGGAACAACCGCGCAATCCCCTCTCCAAATCGGTTGGGAGGGGGGAGAGAAAATATAGATTTTTCATAAGCTAACTTTGAGTATAGCCTAGACTCACTCAAAAGTAACCGTATTACTAAAGAAAGTTGAATTCAAACATTAATTTTTGTAATTAACAGCATACAATTGCAATCCCACTTAAAATATAAAAACCAATATTTCATTTGCGCGTTTGTATGAAATGCTTTTTTATACAGAATCAACTTTCAGAATTAATACATGCTTGGGGAAGGCATTCTGCGGTAGGTCACTTAGGGGGGGGGGGGGATTGTTCGGCTGAGTGTGGTACCCGTATAAAATCGTTCTTCTCCGAACTCATTTTTCATGATTGAACCCGAATTCGTTTTTAGGTGCAGTGGTTGTTGGATAACTATGAAACAGCCGAAGGGGTAAGTTTGCCGAGATGTGCTCTTTACTACCATTACTTGAAACATTGCAAGGAAAATGAGCTAGAACCGGTGAATGCCGCTTCATTCGGAAAACTCATTCGATCAGTTTTTCTGGGATTGAAGACTAGAAGACTGGGAACTCGTGGAAATTCGAAGTATCACTATTATGGCATCAGAATCAAGCCTGGATCACCGCTGAATAATGTGCCTCTAGACTTTTTGTATCAACCAACTCATTCGAAGATAGGCCAATCTAGCGATACGCGAGTAAATTTAACAGCGAATAGAGAGCAGCTATCCCGTACTTATGCAGCTGAGGATAAAAGAATGCAGACTGGAGGCGATGCATTGTCAAAAAATAGCATCACCGCGTAAGTTGGCTCTGCTTCACCTCGTTAGCTCTTTCTCGAATTTTTTCAATAGCTTCACCTCGTTAGCTCTTTCTCGAATTTTTTCAATGGCGCTGCGATAAGCCAGCGTTATCAAATCTGAATAAACTTTTTTTAAATTGAAATCTGTCGATAATTTGATATCTTTCCTTAAAATAATTCATTGTTTGGCATCTCCAGCGCACTTGATCTAGAGGTAACGACTGTGCTTGAGACGGCAAATGTCCTTTGTTTGAACTCGACAGGACCAGTCTGGTTTTAATTATAAATATTGCGTTTCAAAAAAATTGTTGGCCGATTGTTTGTTTGCTTTGTTTTGTCGGACTAGTTATCCTATCTCTTTGGTTTTCTCCTGAAACTTGTAAGTTTACTAAATCAGATTTTTTGAATTTTCTTGTTTATATTTTTCGCTTAATAGCTTCTCTTGGCCTCAATTGATTCGGCTTGTGTTTTATCGGCTTATTTACTTATTTTTTCTCCGTTTGGATGTTCCTTTGAATGTTCCCGTTGTGGTAAGCATAAAAATTTAATTGATCAGGTTTCTAAATTAATTTTTATAACAACTTCTTTCGGCTTTGCGTTGACCAAACGCAAAGTTTCTACTCGATAAGTTTCTACTGTCGGCTTAGTTTCCACTCGATAAATTTTTCTGAATATTTTTAACGCCGGAAATAGCAATTTTAGTTTTCGGCTGAACTGGCTCTAAATTGTCGGCGTATTTGCTGCTCAACCAATTTAATGCTTATCCAAGGGAGGGGGAGTGGGTTTCTTGTGGTCGTTTTGCAAATTGTGCAGCAGCGAAACTGATTTTCTAAAATATTAAACAAGATATCTCTTTATCTCGACTGAGAGTAACGAAAGCTTGGTTCCCCTTTCCACTAATGCTTATCTAGTCTTTATTAAAATATTCTGAATGTCTGTGCGCTGATTATCTGCAAAATTGGCCAGGAATTGATATCAAAACTTAGCCCTTAATGTTTTTTTTTGGATTCTCCAACTCGAAATTTGCACTTAGAAAAGATTCGACCGTCAGTTTTTTAAACAGTATGCAGCCCCAAATCGAACCGGGGAGTAAGCTTTGGCAAGTAGTACTTCAAAATTGTAATTGTCTGACGATGCCAAAAAATGCTAGCCAAATCAAGTGGGGTCCCGCAAATATCGATTCTTTTTTGTCAAATTTACATGGTTAATTACAGTGCGACAAATTAACAGAAAAAGTTAATTGCGTTATTGCAGTCTCATTTGATCAAAATTTACCTTTGAATAGAATGCTGACGACCTCAGTGTCTTTCACTGTTATAGAATTTTGAAACAAGGTATCAGTGAGAGTGGTCGTTCTCGAAAAATTCATTGCTTCTCAAGGTAAGAGTTGTTCTAGAGCGTCAGTTATTCAAATACTCAGTGCATTAACCTTCATATAAACAATCCTAAAGAAAAAATAAACTATTATCGTAAAGTGGCGCTCCAGAAATCAAATGATCTTAGAGTTTGATGTAATGCTGGCTCGTTACATACTCTCAAATACAGAGAAGATGTTGAGATGATCATACACACTGTACATCCTTTTACTTCTTACTTTCACGTTTCTCTCTAATTTTTCTCCCCTTTTTTTGACAATTATAATCAAATTCTACAGGTTTTCTTACCCTCTCATGACAATACTGGCTACACTTGCAGCTACTATTGTAGCATTTCTATCACTTGAATGAACAGAACTCAACCTGTATCGAGAACTGACAAAAACCGCGTTTTTCAAAAAAAGCCACTTTAGCGGTACTCAAACGAACATTCAAAAAGTACTTTTATTCACAACAACCTACTCGAAGGTTCAAGAAAGAACCGATCAATTTGGTGCGAGAGAACTCGTGCAACCGATCATTTTGGTGCGTACTCCTAACCAGCGATTCAAGGAAAATGCACTTCCACAACACTTCAACAACCCCAGCCCAACGGGACAGTCACCAATCCGCAATTCAACAAGCACCCCGGTCGCAAGAGAAACCATTATCAATCACGGGTAAATACCAAAATCCATTACTTTTGAGAAGGGAGACTCATCTAGAAATAAATTCATCAAGAATAAATAGAGTTATGCAAATCCGGAAAACGCGATCAGTAAAAGACACTATTGCCGCCGACGAAACTAGTTTTTCCTCGAAAATGACTGATGAACTTTGACTCGTCGCATTTCACACTAATCGAGGCTGCGAATAAACTGAAGCCTCAGTCACAATCGAGCGAGGACTCACATTTCGACCTGATGGATGAAAAGATTCAATGCCGCTTGCCCACAGGACAGGCTAACTTATCCTCTCAGATCATCGTGCCTGACCCAACACCAGCGTGGATTGTCACAAACCCAACAGTACAGTTACTCGTACAAGCTCTCGTCGCTCACTTGGTGAGCAAAACGGGAACAAATTGCGCGAAGTACCGGGCTGCACCCGGCCAAAGAAACACTTCGATACTGACCTTTCTAATCCTTTTTTGAGAGTACGAAGCTCAGTAACTTTAAGTACTCAGCTTCGGCAAGCGCGACCAAACAATTCGCCTTGCAGGCACTCGAATTACGATTTTTTATAGAAGCGGCAGCCCGAAGCGACTCCTTGGAAGTATACAGGAGACTCGCTTGAAGCCATTGCCCTCACGTTTTTCTGCCGCACGATTCTTTCTACTCACTTCTCTCAGCCCACAATTTTGAAAACTCGTTACTCAAAAAAATCCCTGTCTCCTCAACACCTTGCTCACATTGCCATTTTCAAACCGACAAGCCTCTCGGCCAGAAACTAGAGCAGGAACTCTAGTTGGAAAAGTCAATACAGCATAAGGGCAAAGCGCAGGCTGTTGCAATTAATTCGTCGCCGAAGGTAAGAAGAAACAGAAGCTCTTTGTGAGACGTTCAGGAGGTCTTTGCCTCACCATATCTATGAAAAATCGAGGACCAGTAAGCCTCTTTAAAAAACGCCTCTTTGCGTTTCCTCGCCGATAAATCAATCAGACAAAGTTTCTCTCCTAACGGCATCTTGGAAGCACTCGTGTCAACCCACCTCCTCCTCCAAGCCCTCCATTGCAGTATTCCATCAAAACTGGATGCTTTCTACCCGTCGGGGAGCTCACCTTTCAAAGTTCCCGAATATTAAGCTTCTAACCCCGTGATGTTCACTGAAGTTCACTGTGCAGATAAGTTCATTGTGCGGCACTCGACACACCGCTTAATTCGTTCAAAAACCCGGGATGGAAGGTGAGCAGGTCCTCCGGCACAACTGACAAAGGCGCGATGGTCCATCAATTTTACGATCAAGCTCACTCGGCCCCTCACTTAGCAACCCTACCCGCGAGGAAGACCAATCCTTTACTCGATGTAATTCATTTTTTCCACCTCAATTCCAGCAAGCGCAACAGTCGAAGAATTTGTCTCGGAACATTTCCATATGCAGATCAATTGTGCCGCTGGATACCCATCGGAACCATCAACCGTAAAGTTCAAGTATTTGCAATAAGCGTTTTTGCCTTCATTTCTCATCGTCAAACCCACACTCATCTAAATTTATTCAACAAACTTTTTGATTTCGGCGTATTAGTTATAACATGAAGCCCAGAATTTTTGATATTTAATTGGTAATTAACCAAATCTTCTGACAATACAACAATAGCCACGTATAGCAAGTCAACCTGAGATTGACAGACACTCGATGAAAGCAACCAGAGAACTCATGTTCATTTTCTTTCGTCAAAATGCTACTCACGCCAGCTGAAGGCCCAAGAAAAAGCATGATCTCATCATTGGATCCCCTTACCAAGCCTGCTGCTAATCTGTTTTCCATATCCAATCGCACTACCAACATTCAACATTGTGGAAAGCAGCGATAGAACAGGAAATATCTACTGCAGAAAGATGTACAATACAAGAAATAACCGTTGCTATATCTTCAGATTAAAGCCCGCGGTGTCGCGAACAATATTGTTCTTTGTGATAACCAGAAATAAGACCTAATTGTATATGTGAAACTAGGACTCATTTAACTACAACTAGAATGTGATAACTGCAACTAAAACTATTTAAATTGTGACCGATATAAAATGCAGCAACTGCATATCAAGTATTTCCTGTTAGCTGTAGAAGGCAATTCTAAATTCACTCTCTAACAATCAGGCAGTACTGAAATTAAGCGGAAAAAGACCGCCGTTCTCCTCTTGGTTGTCATTTGGTGACTGAGATGGTGGCGTTTTTCTGCAAATAAATTTCAAACATCGCAACATTATCCAAAGTTCAATTACAATCAAATTTGAAAATATTCTTCTTTAAATTTTTATAAACCTCATAACTGCTGCACCTTCACAAAAATAGACGAACAAATTGACTGCAATCACAAATTTTCTTTTTTTTTTGTATAAGAATCTGTCAGTAGGGAAACGGACTGCCGTATTTTGATCAAGATCAAGCACGACCCAAAAGACAAGAGCTAGCATAATACTGAAGCCCTATTGGTCGTGATTTGGGTTTTTTGTGGGTTTTCCGTTCAGACTAATTTATAAGGAGGAGGGTGAACTTCCTATCTTACTATAATGCGTTTTGATTGTTATTTAAAGCTAAAACCTGCGTTTTGCGACTTATGACCTTTTTTCTCTCCCGTCCAAAAAGTTAAAATATAAAACTTTCAAAAAATTCTTTTGTGTTTTAATTGATTCACCTAGATTTAGATTATTAATGGTATGAGCATTCGTGCTATTCACTAAGCAATCGGCTATCCTTGTTTTTTTTGTATTGCTAGTGATGAAAGATCTGCATCGCCCCATGAAGGCTTTTGACTGCTCGGGTTTAAATTATACGTTTTTTTTCTGCTGCTGTTTAAAAACTACGCAATGTCTTGTTTAGTGGAAAGGGAGCAGCGAACAGGGAACCAAATCATTCGAGGGTTGAAATTGGCTCTTCTGTAAATGGTAGCGCGGAGAAAGCTGATGCGGCTAGAAGTTCAAATGTTGCTACGGTTGCTGGTTCAGCCGGATCTTTTAGTGGAGATCAACTGTCTCGCTCTGCTGGAGAAAGCGACAAGTTACCCAGTGCTTCGACTCCATCAGCGGGTCTGATGAAGCAATACAGGCAGTACTTGGGCGAAATGTCATTCCCGGGAAGCAATACAGCAGATAATCTTCCTTTTGCAGATTTCGACGATTCTTGTCTCCCAGAAGGTGTTTTGTCTGCAGATCTGAGCCTTTTTCAAAATCTCTACATATCACATTGCGAGGTGAGCCGTTTTTGACTGGCTTTGTTTATATATATTTCCATTCTGTTCGAATCAAGGTTCGAAGGCCTCAAAATTAGGACTCACCCGAACCAATAGGTTTTTTCTGGACTGCACGTGGAAGAAACAACTGAGTGACAAGTTTATTGGCTCTATGCGAGTTGCCGGGACAAAAAAGGAGTTGATCAGAGGATACTCAAGTACCTACGTCTATTTTCAGGTCTGCATGACCACAAAAGGTGGGTCATTAACAACCATAATTTCGTTTTAGGCCATAAAAAGAGCGGTAAGCGAAATGCTCCTGGGGGAAGTTGAAAGCTACTGGATGAGTTTTTGGAAGCGCGTGTCCACTGCCAAGAGTGTAGTGTCGGTGAATAGTGGCAAAGTGGAGGATGGTCCGTGGGATGTTTCATGGCGGCATGAAGGCACTTTCAGTAACTCGGCATCGGCTTTGGACGCGAATGGTCTTGACCTGAGGCTAAGCAAACCGAAGCTGATTAATTTGTCTAAATGTGAAGTCGTGTGGGATTTTGTGAAGAGAGCGGATGAACTGCTCTACCAGACTCTGGTTGACTTTCTGGTAGTCAATGTTCTCAGGCCCATTCCGTCACCACTAACACAAGCTATTCGCAACTTCGCTAAAAACCTCGAGGCTAAAATGAAGGAAGCTCTTGGCTCTGATTATTGCGTGGGCCTTATAGACGCTAAGGTATTTTTGTGCCTTTGAATCATTTTATTGATCTGATTGAGCTTGATACCCTTTTTAAGAGTCGGAGAACGTAGTTCAGATTATTATATGGTTCGCGATTTTATTATATGGTTCAAGAAAAGCCTTAAAATTTGTTCAGGCTCAAATGTACTAATTCGCGGTTTGACTTTTGATTTAAAGGAAAGCAAACTCCAATATTGAACAGCAAAAGTGTAAAGGTAACGAAATTCAAAAGTCAGTTTTTTTTCTGTTTACTTCGTTGACTCTTTTTCCTTGACTCTTTGCGTTCATTGACTCTTTTTCCAACTGTCTGTTGGCTATGTTAACTATAATGCTTGATAGTTTTGAGTTAGTTTAAGCCCTTTTAGATGGACAATGCAAAGCAATGAAAAATCTTATTTGAACAAAATGTGCGGTTTAAAGAAACAGAAAAACGAGAAAGACAGTTTTTCAAAAGCTTTTCCCCGTTTCAGTTATCGCGCCTTAATGCCTTTTCTCAAATGCTGCGACGATACACGTCTCTCAATCATTTGGCACAGGCTGCCAGGGCTGTTTTGCAGAATTCGGCACAAATCACACAGATGCTTGCTGATCTGAATCGAGTAGACTTTCAGAATGTTCAGGTTTGTTTCAATTCGTTTTTTTAAGAGTAATGAACGCAGTGAGGGATCAATTGAACAATCTCCCCCCATTCCCGCGTGAGGGGGGAAAAAGCTCAATGAAACTACCACTTGAAACTGGAGTGATGTTATTTTTGAGAATGGATTATCAAAAATTGCTGCCCCTCTTCTCAAACAATGAATTGGTAATAAATTTTTGGAAGCAAAAAGTCTTCTGATTCCACTTGCGAAGCTTGTGTATTAGTACGAACCTTCTTTTTTTTCAACCTAAGTCGCAAATATTGGTGCCATTTTTGAGGCACCTCTACAGCTTTTTGATAGCATGTGCTTTGACATTCGAATAGTAATAAGTTAACACAGTTGATACATTTTTAATTCATCAAATGAACCGAAAAAAGTGATGTGTTTCAAACCACATAACAATAATGAAAACTCGATTTCAGAAATTTTCTAGCTCTTTAACATATCTCGCAATTTTTTGAAATGCATAATTTATAAATAATGTGGCTTTATGCTTTGCGATTTGTTACATCCAAAGTTAGTGTGAATGCCTTCAGTTAGTTGTATTCCGAATTATTACATGCAAAATTGAGTCTAAATGTTTGTGGTGCCACTTTTGCTGAACATTGGAAAACTAATAGCATATGTAGCTGTTTTATTCGTGACTAGTATTTGTCGGTTGTTAGGATTGCGTGGCTGAGCGGACAGTGTGAGACTCAAAATCACTTGGATGCAGTAGGTCGCAAATTTGAATCCTACACGTAGCCGAGTTGTTGCTAATTCGAGGCTTATTTCATTTTTTTATTATTTCACTTGATAGAGCTGCTTTTTGTTCATGTTCTCGCAAGTGTTTGCGAAGCGCATCATTGCCTCTGTGTAGATTCGTGTCTCTGCACGCTTGCCAGACTACTCAAACTGTACAAAATATCAAAAAACCGAAAGATGGATTTAGCTGGAGATGTAGTCGATTTATGTTGACAACATCAACTCGAAAAGACGGTTTTAGTTTGAAAAGTTGAACATTGATTTCCCAAAATGGTTTCAAATTATTTATCTTTGGGGAATGCGGCATCTTCTCGCCAACCTAATTGAGCTTGGCGGACCAGGAATTGGGCTCAAAGTCGACGAATCTTGCTTCGGTCACAAACCAAAACATCTCAGGGTCGCGCTCCTCAAAAACCTATATGGGTCTTTGAAATTTTGGTTATCAGCTGTAAACCGGTAGTTGGTTATATGGAAATTGTGAAACGAAGAAACGCTGCAACACTCCTTCCGATAATCAAGAGAGTAGCTCGTCCTGTATCAATCATACATTTAGACGAGTGGCGAGCTTATCGAGGAATTCAAGGCATGGGATTTGCCCATAAAACAGTGAGTCAGTCGGTGAATTTTGTGGAGCCCGATGGGACACACACAAACAGTGGAATCCTACGGGAACCGAAAAAAGACCTTAATCAAAAGCATGCTTAGATGCAAACGAGTTTTCCTGAATTTTTTTTTGCAAGAATTTATATGGAGAGATCTTTTTGGCTCGATAGCATTTGAAGACATCATCTTGCATCTGAACAATTTTTTTTCTCTATAAACCTAAACTGGCGAATGTGTTATTTCATTGTTTATTGTTTGAATTTTGCATTAGTTCATTATAATTTACTTCTATTTTGGTTGGGGGGATAACTCAATTGAGCATTACGACATGGGATTGCTCAATTTTTGATCTGCAGTGAGTACTCTTGTGTAGGTCTTGGTGATTTTTTTAAAGTTTCTTTCTCAGGAAAATGTTTTAAAACTTTTTCGCGCTTAATTTTTAATTTCTTGCAAAGTTCACTTCATTTCCTTCGTTAAAAGGAAGGCAAACTTGAACAGCCTAAATGTAAAGCTGGCGAAAAAAAGTGTAGCTATTTATCCAGTTTTCTTAAATTGGGTTAATTTTATCACAAAAGGTTCAAATATAAATAGTGCGTGAAATTGAAACAGCTTCAATGGCATAAAGTTGATTTTTTCAAAAACAAGATAGTTTTTTTTTCTGTTTCTTTGCGTTCATTACTCATTTTCAAAATTTTATATGAGCACATTTTGGATAAGAAAAGTTCCCTCTGTCTGTTCTTTTGAAACTTTTAAAGCCTTTTTAACCAAATGACAGCAACCTGCCGATTTTAGAAAAAAAAGAAACCTTTTTTCATTGATGCATATCCCTGAAAAAAATTTAGTGGTACATGGAAAATGTTATCTGATAGAGGTGTGGCAACAAAAGTTTTGTACTGGTTGACATGCTCATTCCATTTAAATGTATTAGGATCAAGCGCGCTGGGTGTGTGATTGCGACGAGGCTCTCATCGGAGAAATTGAGAGCGATTTCAAGCAGTCGCTTCAAATGGAGAGGACGCTTGAACAGTGGGCCAGGTGGCTGGAAGGCGTAGTAGAGAAAGTGCTACACGAGAGCAGAAGCGACTGTAATGTCGGAGAACAGCAGCACCGAAACACGGTCACACGACAGCGCATTCCCGAAGAAGTTGTCCGCTTCACTAATAAAGCAAGACGCTTTCTTCTGCACTGGTCGTTCTACAGGTAATATTTGGATAAGAAGAACTATCCGAAGTTGATCGCAGTGCAATTTCTTGTAGCCAGGAGATAGAAAATTGTTTCATAATGTTTGATGAAAATTAATATCGCTAACTTTGGATCGTAAAATACTTGGAATAAAAGTTGTTAGAGAACCAGGAATCTTCCTAAGGTGTGATTCGCCTTACCATTGGTAATGAATTGTTTCTACTCCTGCAATGATGAGAAATTTTTCTGTATAGCTCAATGGTGATTCGGGACCTGACTCTGAGAAGTGCGGCATCATTCGGCTCCTTTCACCTCATCCGACTATTGTATGACGAGTATATGTTCTACTTAGTGGAGCACAAGGTCGCGAAAGTGCAGGGCAAAACAGCAATTGCAGTCATTGCACAGGTCAGTACACTTGGAAGTGAATTGATTTTATAATCTTATAAAACTATCGATTAATTAAACTGTAAAGGTCACGAAAAACGTGATCGACTTCTAGTGTCGAAAGTGGGTTTTAATTTTTAGGTTTTCCCGGGGTTAAAAATCCGCAATGATCCAGTCTTCATATATTGGTTTAATTTTACCAAAAGAAGTTCCAATCATAAATTGTTCTTCAAATTTTATGACATTTAAGGGCATATTTTCGAAAGAATTTTTTCAAAATTTTCCTTTTGCTCATTGACATTTTTCCAACTCTACGTTGGCTATGTTTTGGATTGCGAATTTCGTGCTCCTGTCCAGAAAAAGTAATTGAAATGTTGCCGAATTTAAATAAATGTGTCAATTTTTAATTTAGAGATCACGTTACGAAAAGAGGCAAGTTACCATTGCTCTGTTACTACTGTATCTAAACTTTCGATTTTTCTTTTGCCTGTCATTGAGAGTAATGAACGTATTGAGTATTCTTATATAAGTCTTGCTGATTTTTTGTTTTTTTTTTCAGGAAAAAAGTCTTTAAATTTGTTCACGCTCAGTTTAGATTTTTGGCGGTTTGACTTGCGATTTCTCAAGTTCAGTGCATTTCTATTGTTTACACTAGCAAAGCTTGTGTTATAGTATGAACTCTTTTTTGCAACCTAAGTCGCAAATATTGTTGCGACGTAAATATTGTTGCGACAAAATGTGTTCATATTGAAAGTGTTCATTTCGATCAATAACCAGCTATTAAGTACAGCCAATGCTAAGGACATCAACACACACTATTATATTACAAATAACACTTTAGCTTCAAGGTATCGTGGGTCTGTAGTCGGTCGGGAAGGAGACCCGCAACAAAATAAGAGGGTTCGAACCTGGGCAGGGTTGGAAGTTTTAATGAACTTTTTCGTATACTAGTTAAAATGCGTCCGCTCTATAAATTGAGGCTTGTTAGTATTTCAAACCTTTTTTCAAATTGACTGGTACTGCTAATGCGTCATAATCCCAGTAGCGTTATCGGTCATATTTTTGCTTGTGTATGCGAAGTGCAACTTAGCCTCTGTGTAGAAGGAAGGCAAACTCCACTATCAAACAACAAAATTGAAAAGGGCTCGAAAAACGTGATTGACTTCTAATTTCGAACATGGAAATTAATTATCAGATTTCCCAGCGAAAAGAAGTTTACCTATTGATCCAGTTTTCTCAAATTCGATTAATTTTAACAAAAATTATCCATCATAAATTGTTCTACAAGTTCAAAGAGCCTCAAGGCCGTCAATTTTTTTTCGTCGAAATTCAAAAGTTGAAGTTTTTTCAACAGTGTTTTTTTTTTCAGTTTCCTTGCGTTCATTACTGTATTCCAATTGTCAGTCGGCTATGTTTATATAGATCAGTCTGTTTCAGAGCAAGGACAACAAAGCTGCTTCTGCGACTGGTCAACGGATTTCGTCTATTATCAATGACAATGCCTTCTCTGAATCTGAAGTTGGAAAGGATAATGATGATGCTAGGTTCTCTGAAGGTGTGTTGGATGCGTCAAGGTTGTCAAACATGAACAGATCTTTCAATGTTTCGGCATCAAATCACCAGTACTCAAGCGCATCATTTGATCATGATGGGCACTTGAAAGGCTCAGTTGGTTCACTAAGCGCAAGCGAGGCTACTGGACAAGGGCTTGATTTGATGGGAGATGATTACTCAATGGCTTCGTCACTACTGTCTGCACGAACAGATGTATTCTATCAACGGCAGCAAGGTATGTATATCAATGCAAACAAGTTATGATCTGCTTTCCATTTTGACTGGTTAACAATGTAAGAGAGTTCTTGTTTTTTCATAAACAACTTTTCTTATTGAATCGTCACAAGTTGCATGTTCCTTTCCGCTTGACTTAGAGGTAAGGACGTCGCCTTTGCACCCTTTGGTCAGGGGTTCGAATCCCGGTCGTACCTTGTTTTTTTATTGCAATTGAAGTTAACCGGTATAAATTGATTTGTCGGATTTTCTTTTATCTGGTCAAGTTTTGTCGGCTTGTATGCCACATCACGGATTTTTTTTATTGTGCTTTAAGCAAATATCTTGGTAGTTGCAAGTGTTGTTCATTTTACTTTCAGGGGCACTTGAAACTTTCAAAAGTTTTTAAATAAAATTGTTTTTTTTTTCGCGTAAAATGGTTATGCTCAAAGATTGTCGGCTTTCTTTCCGCTTATTAGTTTGGTTCCGTTTCCAATTGAAAGTTCAAATGTATTTCTCGGCCTTTTTGCTTAAAATTTCTTTTTGATGAAAACAGGTATGATGCAATTGTATGGGATTGGGCTTTTATTTCATTTTTTGACGCTTTCGAGAATTTGCAAAGATTTCTTGAAAAATACACCGCCGATTTTCAAAAGTAGGTATGAATGGAAAGACCGCCTTCTCCTGTGTATGCCTGCATACTCCGCTGATCTCCTTTTACTTTATCCTTTTGGTTACAGCCTTCGAAACAGTCTGTGGGGGATTATTTGACCTATACTTTGACTTTTTGCGTTTTCTAATCAAAATCTGAGATTTTGGTTTCAATGAAAAGAACGAGTTCTAGACGCCTCTTCTGCATAAGCCGTTACGCCTAATTTTTTCCCCAAAATAAATCTATGGCCCTCGGAATAGTCAATTTTTTGATTTTTTGACCGTTTGTTTCTAACTTTTTGATTTTTTTTTTCGTAAACTACCCTCCCATATCTGAGATTTTAGGTTTAAGCAAAGAATGGGTTTTGGAAAGCCCATTTTTATACGCCCACTTTTATACGCAAAGTTGTGGTCCTCGGAAAAGTCTGAATTTCGATTTTCTGGCTGTTCTTTAAACTTTTCTCGGTAACTACCCTCACAAATTTAAGTTTTGGATTCAATCGAAATTACAGGTTCCGTGAATATCTTCTGCATAAACTGCTACGCCTAATTGTTTTACACAAAAAGTTATAATTTTCTACTTGGTTTTTTTGAAACTTTGACTTTTTTAGCTGCCCCTATCAAATCTGAGATGAAAAGTTCAATCGAAAGAACCGGTTAGTAATTTTCTCCTGCAGTAGTAGATAATTTCACTTCTCGCTTACTTAGTAAAAAAACTACTAAGGTTTTGGGTAGAGTCCAATTTTGAAATTATGCTTTTCGTCCAGCATCAGTAGAGCAAATTCAAAAATATCAAACTCGTATCTCCAGCCCCATTTTCACTCTATTATGAGTAATGAACGTTGCGAGTACTCTTAAATAGGTCTTCCTGATTTTTTTCAGGAAAAAGTCTAAAAATTTGTTCACGCTCAATTTAGATTTTCGGCGGTTTGATTTGTGATTTCTTTTTAAGTTCAGTGCATTTCTATTGTTAAAAGTAAGGCAACCTCCACCATCGAACAGCAAACTTGTAAAAGTCACAAAAAACGTGATCGACTTCTAATTTCGAAAATAGAAATTAATTATCAGATTTCCCAGCGAAATAAAAGTTGTGCCTGTTGATACAGTTTCATCAAATTGGGTAAATTTTAACAAAAAAAGTGTCCATTATAAATTGTTCTACAAATTCAAAAAGCTTTAAGGCCATCTATGTTTTTCTTCGAAATTCAAAAGTTGAAGGTTTTTTAAAAAACAAGTCAATTTTTTTTTGTTCACTTGAGTGCATTACTCTTTTTAAACTGTCAGTTAGCTATGTTTTTATTGGCACATGCAAAATTTTTGGTTTTCCTAGTTCTTTTTGAACATTTTTTCGACTTCCGTTTTTTATGTTTTTTTTGTATAGCAAAAAAAGTTGCGTGAGACAATTGGATGCGAATGAAACTACAGGAAATGAGGGGAAAAGGCTTAAAAAGTTATCGTGGAAAGCAAGGCAAGTAATAAAAGTTTAAACCAAAAGGGTATTAAATCACTTGAGTTCTGCTCTTAGCTTCAATGCAAAGAATCTGGCGTCAGGAATTCTTTAATCTATCGCTCTAGTTAGTTACTAGTTCAGAGATAAATGATTATTGCAGATAAATCAAGCGTGCATGGCCAGACTGCTCGTTCTATACCCTCTCATTCACTTCTCCAATCCAACATCACGGTGACGGGCGCCTTTGGACAAAGTCTGGGTGGCACTTCCGGGACTATGAGCAGGGATTCCAATGCTATGCTGGGATCCAGTTTCACACGAGTGATACAGCACAACCCAATGCAGTACCAGAACTCTTCGCTCCTGCAGTCGGCGGGTGCCGGAGGGTCGAATAATGTTCTGATGTCGTCTACAGTTTACGAGCATGATAGCAGTGATCTGAATGAGGAATTCGAGGACTGTGAGTCCGATACGGAAGATACCATTGATATGACGAGGGCTGAGATGAGTCTGGCACAACATCATTTCCACGACGCAATCCAGGGTATTAACAAGTTTTTAGTGCTGTAATTAATTTATCATAGCCTATTTGTGAAGTTAATAAGGCGGTTAGTTTTCATTTCATAAAATAGCTTTAAGATACCACAGGCTTATCAGAAGTCGCGCGAAGTGTGATTCGAAGATTTATTAATGCCTTCTTGTTTTACTTTTTACTTGATTTTCTAAATGAGGGGTCGTTTCAGGCGATGTGCAATACTTGCTAGATCATTCCAATAGCGACTCAATGTTGAACTACGACATGACGTCGCTTTCTGGGGTATCCATGGCCATGACACACAGCCCGCCCACTTTAACGACAAGCAACACTCACGAGGGGGGATTCGAAGGAGTCGGGGGCGACGAATTGGTAGATGTGAAACCAACAGGATCTGTTCTCTTTGGGAACTGATGATGACAGCTGTGATCTACTAACAATCAAAAGCTGCGTACTGCAATCGAATGCTAATGATGGACTCTACAGTATCTGTCCCGGCTTTGTTCATCAGGCAGCAGTCGAACAAGTAGACTCGATAGAATCAGTTCATAATCCCTTTTATGTCTGCGTGTCTTGTGAAGAAACAATTCGTACAGCGATTTCCCTTTCAAATTTTACAAATTATATCAGAAATAACTCGCAATCGCAGCCAAAAAAATACTAACATATCAATTTTAGTATCTTTTTGAAATTTTTAAAATAAACTTGAACTTAATATTAGAATGTTAGTCATTGTTTCATCCCTTTGTAGTTGTATATATAATATATAAATGAATTCAAGTGTACACAATTTTTCCAATTTGAGTTATCAAAAAGGCCTTCTAAAAATGACTTGTTGTCAAAACAGAAGTTAGAAACAGAATTACAACAAAGAAGCTTTGACATTTGTTAGCGAATTGATATCAATGCAAAGCAAAAGCAAAGTTTTATGTATAGCTAGTCTGAAATTCGAAAAAATTTCCTTCTGCCTTCTTGAGACATTATCAAAAAAACTGGTTAAGCATGATATCTCCAACGTGAGTAGGCGAATTGATATTGTTTTTTCGAGTCCATGATCGTAGTTCAAACTTATATAGGTCGTGATTTAGTTTTTTTCCGTTTTCTTTCAGGAATGGTCCTAAAATTTGTTCAGGCTCAAATTTAATTTTTTTGCGGTTTGACTTCTGATTTCTTTTTAAGTTCAGTTCGTTTCCTTTGTTAAAAGGAAGGCAACTTCGCCTATCAAACAGCTGAAGTGCAAAGTTTACGAAAAGCGTGTTCTTATTTCAAATTTTATATTCGAATTTAATTATCAGATTTCCCAGCTAATTTAAATATTCACCTAGTTATCTCAAAATTGATTTAAATTACCAAAAAAAAGGTTATCATAGATGGTCTAGAAATTCAAAGAGCTTTAAAAGGCCATCTATTTTTTTTCTGGAAATTCAAAAAATTTTCGGAAAAAAAGAATTATTACTGTTTACTTGCTTTCATTGACTCTTTTCAGGCAATCTATTGGCGATGTTTTCAATAACGCGTTTCTTTCACGTGGATCGATAAGCTTAAAAATGGAAGCTGGGATTTTAAACAAAATTATTCAAAATCGACTTCAGTTGTCCTCGAAGAAGGAAAAATGAATTTAATTGAAATTTTTTGACAAGCAATCGGCGTTTCTTGTCAATAAAAAGTTTTAAATTTTGTTTGAGTCTCAACCTAAAAGGCTTCAGTATAACACATCATTGGAACCCATTATGAGGGTTATTTGTCATACTTAATTTAGCATAGACAGAACAAGCATGTGAAATTGAATGTTCTCATTCTCAGTTTTTTTGTTGCAGCATTTGAATGGATAAAGCCCTATACGCACGCATGCTTGATACACAAGTGAGATTGAGACCGTAGTTTTATACGATCAGTCCTTTTCTCCGACAAGAGTAGCTTGTTTTAGTGCAAAGTTAATCGAGAAACTAGATTTTGAGGGATACCGTTTATATATCCCGAACATTTAGCCGCGATGGACTCTAATGCTTACACTTGCGAAGCGAGTGTTTTAGGACGAACCGTCTTTTTTTCCCAAACTAAGTCGCAAATATTGGTGCCACTGTTGGGGCACCTTTGCAGCTTTTTGATAGCATGTGCTTCGACCTTCAAAAATAAGTTGACACAGTTGATGCATTTAAATTCATCAGCTGAACCGAAAAAAGCTATGTGTTTCAAACAACATAACAATAATGAAGCTCCAAACAACCTAACATTAAAACAATTGATTTCAGAAGTTTTCATATCTTGCAGTTTTTTGAAAATGCACAATTTATACATAATTTGGCTTTATGCTTTGCAATTTGTTACATCCAAAGTTAGTGTGGATGCCTTCAGTTTGTTATATTCCAAATTATTACATGCAAAATTGAGTGTATTTGTATGTAGTGCCATTTTGCTGAGTCTCATTGGCAAATTTTTAGCATATGTAGCTGTGTTATTAGTGACTAGTGATTTTCGGTTATTAAGCTTGCGTGGCTGAGTTGATAGTGTGTGAGACTCAAAATAACTTGATTACAGTAGGTCGTAGATTCGAATCCTACACGTAGCAGAGTTTTTGCTAATTCGAGGCTTATTTCTACTTTTTCTTATTTCATTTGATTGAGTTACTTTTTGGTTGTGTTCTCGAAAGTCTTTGCAAAACGCAGCCACTTGATCACGGGCTAATACTTACAAGGTGGGCGAAGCGCAGCTTCGCCTCCGTATAAAAACTATTTTTGTAAAACTTTCCGTGCTTGACAGTTATGCGCGCTTTTAAAAATGATTATCAATGCGTAATCTGGATTTGTTTGAGCGCTGCGAATTTCTGCAAATTTCCGCGGCGCTGATATAATCATGCCAGAACAATTTGAGGGAAACTAATTGTGGCCAATAGTTTCTGGATTGTGTTTTTCAGATCTGTAAGTTGCTTTTCTTCCAATGATTAGATCTGTATTTTCTCGCCTTTTTCCAATTTTTAAAGGTTTTCTGCCGCTCAGCTTTTAAAAGTAGCAAAGAACAATCAAGAGCTCAGGTAGCCGTCAGCAAGGTCTGATTCACGAGCACTCTACTCAGGATACGAAATATAAGCGGAGCGGAGGAATAGTTGGAAAAATGCATGGCTTCTCATGTCTATCTAACGTTTGAAAAATTTGGGTTTTTTCTAATGTAATTTGTGCATGTTTACGCTTGGTTGTTTTAATACACTGCAAAATTTCCCTTTGTGAAAAAAAATTGAGTTAAGTACTCATTTTTGAGATGCATGGCTTCCGGTGAGTTTTCCTTTATCTTAGTTTGTTTGGTCTTAATTTCTAACAACTGAGCGCTTTATTTTAGGTTATATTTGAAGTATTTCTAAAAATTCAGCAAAAAATTGAAATTTTTTCAATTTTTTTTCTACAACTTTGAACAACTATCAGCCACACGTTGAGTTAAAATTTTGTGTGAAATAAAATTAAAAATACTTTGGGTAAGCAATCATTATCAAATTGGAACATTTTTTTTTCAAGTAAATCAGTTGTTACATTGCTTTGTTATAAACTCAGAGCTCTTTGTTATAAACTTCGAACCATTTAGCTGTGAGTTAACTGGTACGCTTTTACGCTTTCAAGGGCAAAAAACTCCGGCAAGACTTGTATTTTTTGAGTGCGGGAATTTCTTGCTTTTTAAAAGCTTATTTTTATACTACTATGTATCAGCTCACTATTGTTGGCTTAATTGCCGCAGCACGCACTTTTTTTGAAAGTGCTGAATTTCTATACAATTTTACCATACCGTATCCAGCATTTGTAATGAGGCAGATAACTGAGAATTGAACTTTTGTTTGCATCCCCGTTTCGGCATTTCGTGTGTTATCGATTTGAAAAATTTTGCTTGTTATATCGGTCTAGTTGCATCATACTGCACTGTTTGAAAAAAGGAAAGGAGATTCGGAAACTCAAACGTTATTATAGCATTTTAGTTAGTATAACATTTGTATTTTTTTCACGGCTCAACGGGTGTCTACTTAACTTTTGTCCGCCTGGTTAGTGCCATTTTAATTTTGTCTTGATGTTAATTGGACGTTGGCAATCGTTTTTAGTTTTTGGCTCGGTTTTTTTTCGAATTACATTTTTTTGACAATTGTATATCAAGTGAAAGCGAGGCGGCTTGGGCAAAAATGACGAAGTTAATTGAGCAAAATTTGCTTAACTTTTTTCAATTTGATGTGATTTTTTTCTGAATTTAGATGCCACAACGTAGATTGTTTTTTCTCCTTTGGCATTTTACATTGTTGTTGCTCTTATTTTTTTATTTACTTTGCTGTTTGTTATTGATTTCGACTGATATTTTTTGGCTAGTGACCTAATTTCGAGTCATTTCAAGTGAAAGGTTGTTATTCATGATTTGCGCACTTTGCTTAGATTGTTGCTTAAATTGATTAGAGTAATCGCTAGCAGCGTATAAAATGTCTTTTTACAGCAGTTGATGCGACTGATGTTTTTATTACTTTTTTTTTGAAAAATATATTTTTAAAACAAAATTAATTTTGCGAGAGCATGTGTCTTCTCATCGGAAGTTGGATTTTCTCGTTAGAGTAAGCGATAGTATCTATTATGAAACTATAAAAGTCTAAAACTCTCCAGAAAACTTTTTAAATTTTAAAAAATTTTAGCTTAAAACTTCTTTATATCGTATATTGGTACGAAATTTTTTTTTGAAAAATCCGACAATATTTAAACCGGTTGATGCATAAACTAATAAATTCTTACTACGGATGCCGCAAAAAGCACCAAAGATAGACGTTGAGATAGAAGGCTGGGTATTCTCGCATAATATAAACTGATATTCTCCATGAAACTTTCATATTTTGTTCAACCAAAGCATTGCGTTTTTGTAAAAATTGTCATGACACGATTAGAAAAATTTTAGTTTTTCTCGGACATTTCTACTGATATTCAAAAAATTTTATCAATTGAAAGTCCGGCTACTCCCCTGTGTGCCTGCATACTCTTCATGAGTCTCTTTTCAATTGACCCCTTTGTTTACAGCTTTCGAAAACTCTGGAGGAATGTTTGACCCATATTTTTGAATTCCTATGTGATCTCGAAAACTACCCTTCTCAAATCTCAGATTTTGTTATCAATGAGTGAAACAATTTTGAAAAGCTCCACGCAAAAACGGCTACACCCAAATTTTTTACACATGATGTTATGGTGTTCGGAATAGTCAAATTTTTGATTTTTGGCCGTTTTATGAATCTTTTTGTCTTTTCTCGAAAGATATTCTCAAATCTGATTTTGTGCGTTCAATGGAGATGATGGATAAGGGGAAGCTCCCGTACATTAGGGGTCACTTGCAAAGGTGTTTTGTATATTCTAGAGAATTACCCTAACAAGACTGAGTTGTTGGGTTTCATCGTGATATCAGATTGCGTGAATCCCTTCTGCATAAACGGCTACGCATAAACGGCTACTCATTTTTTTCACACAAAAAACTATGATTTTGTGAAGTGTCAAAATTTTGATTTGTTGACCGTTCTTAGACTTTTCTCATTAATTATCCAGCCAAATCTGAAATCATGGGTTTAATCGAATCAACAGGTAGTTGAAAACCTATTTTTATAATTTGGTCTGCCCAGTTTAATTAGGAAGAAAGTTATAGCCTTCAAAAAAGTCAAAGCTTTGAAACGTTGATGGTGTTTTGGAAACTTTTTGACGTAACGCAAAAACTACCGTGTCAATTCTCAGGTTGTGTTTAATCTAGAGACACGGTTTTGGGAATCGTCTCTGCTAAGTG